CACACCTGGGGTTATAGATGCACACAGGCACACCTGGGGTTATAGATACACACAGGCACACCTGGGGTTATAGATGCACACAGGCACACCTGGGGTTATAGATGCACACAGGCACACCTGGGGTTATAGATGCACACAGGCACACCTGGGGTTATAGATACACACAGGCACACCTGGGGTTATAGATGCACACAGGCACACCTGGGGTTATAGATGCACACAGGCACGCCTGGATTTCTTTAGGTTCTGGAGGGTCAAACTCAGGTCCCCACGCCCACAGAACAAGTGTTATTACCCACTGAGCTGCAGCCACTAACCTCTTGGCAGCAATTGTTACATCACGGTGTCCATCCACAGGTATTTTCTTAGAAGTGGTTGTGAGTGGTCGCAGCCTTGTAACAGGCCTTCCGCCTTCCGCCTTCCGTGCAGTGCTTCTTCCCACATGGAAGCACTTGGTAGATGGTGAATTCCTGTTGAGAGATGGTGAATTACTGTGCAGGGAGTACATTAGAGAATGTGTCAGTCAGTTGGTGGCCTTGGGATGCTCCTTCGTTACCTACGTAGGTTCTTGCTGTCCTGAAATTTGATCTTGGGGTTTGAGGGGGGGAGCTGGGCTCCCTCCTTAGTGTCCTATTAGCACACCCACCTTCTAGGGCAGAGTGATTTGGAGGTTGATGCCTTTACTCTCATCCCAGTTTCCTTTGGGTGCAGTCATGTAAAGTAGGGTTGTGCTAGCTGAGGAGCACAGAGCAGAGAGGAAGGGACCAGCTCCCAGACTTCTCACTGGCCATGGAGATACTTCCTCGGGTACAAAGCACTTTGGGTTTAGGTCACTGGGCCAGGTGACAGAGGAACTTGTGTCTTTCTTACCTTTACAGTCAGAGCACCTGAGTGCCTCAGCACAGGCAGAGTGAAGCTGGAAACCTGGTCCTCAGGTGAGCAGCTGGGCACAAGCCTGCTGGTCACGTGACTGGTGAACAAGGTTCTGTGTGCTCGTGCATGACTCCCCTGTGGTGGCTACACTTGCCATGGCCCATTGGCAGACAGACCGCAGAACTGTACTTGCATGCTGGAAGTATGCCCTAGGCTGATTGCTGGACAAAGCTGCCTTCGAGGATGCTTCTAGCTCAGCAACTTGTTGTTTCAAAAGACTGCACTGGAGGACCCCGCTCCCCCTGCATTTGTGATTGGTGGGCAGAGAAGGAAGGGAAGAAATGCAGAGATCTTGGGCCTCATGGTCCAGGGGAAGCTGTCTAAGGATTTCTACTGGTGTGTGGTGAAGTCTGCATGAGTCTCCTTGTTTTTACTGCCATAGCTCCTGCTTGCTGAAGCAGAGGGGACCGAAAGGACACCTAAGACATTCAAAGTGGGGATAGAAGGTTTCGCTGCCACTGTGGGGATCTTGACTGCAGGCTAGGTTTGCATAGTGTCTCTGAGCACTGAACTGGGTAGACTCAGACGTATTGATGGGAGAAATAGACCCATAGTTAGTATGCATTGTGGGCTTGGATGTCCAGTGTGGGGAGGAGTAAATGCCGCAGGCTCGTCTGAGAGGTTTTGGTCATCCGTACTGAAAGCATGCCACTCCACAGTTTATAACTGTTTTCTTTGGCTGGTCATTGGTGTGGCCTGCCTTTCATTGTGGGTCCAAGTTATGGAATTAAATCTCAGTTTTTCCTGGGACTGTGAGCTTACCACAGAGAACCTTGGGCTGGGAGTCAGACCAGTGTGTTCCAACTCTTCACTCACATTCTTTTATTTAACAAATAGTGAGCACATGTCTGTGCCGGGCACTGTGCCTGCTCTTTCTGCGTATGTGAGGAACAAAGTCAGAAAGGCTCCTTTCTCATGAAGTTAGTAAAATGAGCAGTGTCCAGGGATGGCAATCACCCTCAGAACCTGTTCCCAGATGCAGTGTGTGGGCGAGTTACCAAACCTCTCAGATCCATTTCTTCATCTCCAAAACAGGTCTGTGCCTATCCCTTCAGGCTGCTGGGATTACAAAGAGACTAAAATTTTGGCCACAGACCACAGAGCGGGAACTTTGACAGTCTTTCCTTTTCTACACCATCTTCCTGTGCAGATTGGGTGAGGTTTTCACTGCAAGGTTAAGAGGCAGACCCTTGCAGTGATTCTGATGGGGATCATGCAACGTGCTAATCAGGAGTCATCCCCTGTGCCTTTTCCTAGGATTCCCAGAATTCCCAGTCAGATGTTGATCAGTTCTGCACAGTTCCACAGTGTTTTCTGAAAAGACAAGAGCTGCTTCTTTAGGCACAACTCATGTTTCATGCCAGCTGAAGCACAGCAAACTGAGCCATATCAGTCTCTGGGTCTGGCAATAGAAATTAGCATCTAGGTTGTTACATTTTTCAGATGTGGAGACAAACTGTCCAGTGCTGGGGCTTCATCTGCAAGTGGGAAGACAGCCAGAGTGTCCCTTGTTCTTGTTCCCATAGAGAATGTGTGCTAACCTGTCTGTCCTCATGCTCACAGGCCGTGCACACGGGCATGCGGGCGCTAATCTACAGCACCACCACAGCGGGCTCTCAGGCGGAGCACTCGGGCATGAGGACCTACTACTTCAGTGCCGACACGCTGGAGGACATGAACGCCTGGGTCAGGGCCATGAACCAGGCTGCACAGGTGCTGTCTCGATCATCACTGAAGAGGTCAGTCCTGGTGGGGGACCTCCAGGGTGGGAGCCAGAGGAGACCCCTAGGGCTGCAGTTCCACTGTTCATGCTGTGTTCAGGATGGCCAGCTCTCTCAAGTCCATCTGGAACAAGTGCTGTAGGTGGAGAATGTGCAAATGCTAGCACATGTCACTCACCAGGCTGCAAGCTCTTCTAGACAGCATCTAATGGCCACAGCTGCCATGGAACCTGACACACACACACACACACACACACACACACACACACATGTTCTCAAATTTCTTATTCGTGGTAGAAGGGACAGAAGTAGTCCAAATCACATTTCCAGGTTAACCTCTGCTAGGTAAATTGATATCCTTTAAAATAACTTTCTATTTATGGAATAGATGTATATAGGTATATATTGGTTTCTTTCGTACCTTTAAATTTTTATTATATTTTACTTATTCTTGTGTGTGTGTGTGTGTGTGTCTGTGTGTGTACTTATGCCATGGCACCACTGTGGAGATCACAGGACAACTTTTAGAAGTTGCACTCTCCTTGCGTGAAGTAGGTCCCAGGAATCGAACTCAGGTTGTCTAGACTGGTAGCAAGCTGGACCATCTCACTGGCCTTTCTGCCATTTTAAAACATAAACAAGAAGTTCTACATTATTTAATACCAGTAGACATGTATCACTATTCAGTCTGTATTCTTCTGCTATAACAAAATCCCAAAGTGTGGGTAATATATAAAGAAAAAAGGTTTACTCACCTCATTTTGGGAGGCAGAAGTCTAAATAACATGGTTTGAAATGTGCCATGGATACACACACACGCACACGCACACACCAATTGGACTGTATCAAAGGCCAGTGACATGATGGGAGCTCCTACAAGAGGGAGACCAGTATCAGTTATTTTTGGTGCAGCATCTGCAATGACCTAATTGCTTTGACCTGGCAGGAAAGAATCTTGCCTCTCCTCCAGTGTGGTATTCCACTGGCACCTTCTTTCCTTGTTAGTGGTCCCAACCCCTCACCCTACCCCCCACTCCCCTATCCCCTGCCTCTGCAGCCATCTCCTGCCCCCTCCACCAGCCATCTCCTGCAGCCATCACCCCACCTCCACCCCCCGCAGCAGTCTCCTGTCTTGTAGATCTCACCCAGCTCTGTCACATACTTCCTTTAGGAATGGTGGCATCTATCAGTACTGCTGACTACGGGTGACTGAGGGGATGAGGATTTATTGTTCATGTCCCTGAAGATTTCAAGATATACCTGGCTCTAGAATAGCTGGTTTGGGGCTCAGACACTGCCATCCTCTCAGACTCTGGGCTAGATTCAGTCTTAGACTCTGGGGAGGTCCCAGGAACATCTGGATCTGAGGTTGAGGGGCCTGTAGCAATTTGGCCATCAAGCCCAGCAACAGAGCCAGGAGGTGTGTTGCCCAAGAAACATTGAGATACATTGTGATTAGACTGGCTGACCTCAACTACTCTGAGGCTCTCAGCCATCCACCGTGGCCAGGGAAGGCTCTTGTTGATGCCACTGGGCCATAGGGACCGGAAGCAGAAGTAAAGGGTTGTTTCCATGGGAAGGGTGAGGGCTTCAGGCTGAGGACCTTGGAATGGCTTCTTGGGGTGAGTGACCGAACACCGGTGGCCATCACCCAGGCTGGCTGATTACCTCACCTTCTCCTGCAGCATTATCTCTTTTACTTTTATTTTGTGTGTATGAAGTTTTGCCTATATGTATGTCTGTGTGTGCCTGGTGCCCCCTGGAGGTCAGAAAAGATTCACTGGAACTGGAATTTCAGATAGTTGTGAGCTGCCATGTGGGTGCATTGAACCCAGGTCTTCTGCAAGAGCAGCCAGTGCCCTTAACCTCTGAGCCATCGCTCCAGACCACTGTACCTACTCCCACCCCATCCCTGTTGTCTTGAACACCTCCTCCCTCCGGGAGCTTGGTCTCTGAAGTCTTTCAGGCTTGGATTCCAGCTCCCTGCTGCCACTGTGTGAGAAGGACTTAGACTTTTCACAGTCAGTTTCTCACAGTTCATAAGACCCTTCCAGTGAGTAACTGTGGTTACTTAGTGAGGAGCTGAGACGCAGGTCCCTCTCCCTGTCAGATGTGTTGGCTTCTATAGCCCTTGGCCTGGTGACATCATTGCCACACCCCACCCTACTCCACCCCTGTGCACCCTTCTTGTTTCAACTGTGAGTCTTTGAGCAAACTTCACACTCTCTGTTTCTAGTGTATCTCCTAGCAGTGTGCGTAGCTCAGGCCCAGCTCTCCGAAGCCCCCCTCTTCCTCTAGCCCCCTCCCAGGGAATTTCTTTCTGAACCTCTGATTTTCACCATCTTGTTTCCTGCACAAGGTCATGGGATGGAAGGGGGATGAGTGTCCTGTCCAGTCTTTCTCCATCCCTATCACGTCTGGACTATGTTTGATTCCCTGGGGTCTTCATGACACCCATCTTCCCAGCTTGTCTAAGGATGCTTTATTTTTCCAAGAAAGCCATAACCCCAAGCAAGAAGGCCCATTTGCATTTGTAGCTCACAAAACTGACAGGTGAGGGCTTGCCAGGAGATACCTCAAGTCTTCCCGGTCTCCAACCCTGCTTCTAGTTCTTGCTTCCAGTCTGTCTTGGGGCTGAAGAAACTTACATCCTAGTCACTTAAGGAGTAAAATCCAGTTTCCTCCACAGGGCTTTTGAAGCTGGCATGTATGTCTAGTATCTACAGACTAACGCTTGCCTTCCCTATTAGCTGTGCCCCAGCCTGGACCTCCCTGTACTTGAGCCTGTACATCTGTTCATCCATTTATCTTTTATCTGCAAATATTCATGGTGGGCATATTATAGACGAAACACAGTTGATGATCCTGAGATCGTAGCAGGTAGTGTGTGATCCAGTGTACATTTGTGGAGGGGGGGGCACATAAGTCAGTAAGAAGACATTTACCATGATCTAAGTATGAAGACTGCAAGATGGGGTGTTGGAAAGGGGGCGGAGCAGTGAGTGGGAAGTTTGAGTGATCAGGAAAGGCCCCTATTACCTGATTGGCTATGGAGGTGAGGACGCATTAGTACATGGAAGTCAGATGCACACACACGGGGGAGGGGAGGGGTATATATGGGGCTAATGGATGACTTGGTGAAAAAAGAGCTTGCTGAGGAAACCTCACCTGAGTTTGACCCCCAAAACCTACATTAGTGGGGGTTGGGGCATCTAGATGCTGTGGCATGCATCCGCAATTACCATCACCTCTTTGAAAATAACCCATTTAGTGCCTGGCACAGAGTAAGTGCTCACTTAAATGTGTGGCTGTTTATCTGGTTGTGTGGGCAAGTAGGTGACTTGCTGAACAGAGCAGCTGTAAATTGGCATGGGGCTGCCAAGATGGTCCAGTGGGCTGAGGTACCTACCTCCAAGCCTAACGGTCTGAGTTCAAGTCCCTAGAACCCCCATGGTTGAAGGAGAAAACTGACCCCAACAAGGTGTCCTGTGTCCTCCACACTTGCACAGTGGTGCATTGCTTCCTCAATACACTCCCCCCTCCCAAAAAAGAGTAAAAAAAATAAAAGTTGTAATGACACAGAACAAAGTGAACTCTGCTCTGGGTGTGTGTGTGTAAGGAGCCAGCCTTCTCCAGCCCTCTCAGAAACAGCCCCACAGTCAAGCCCCCTGCACTTCTTTTTGGCCTTTGGATTGTTCTGCCGGGTGATGTACGGCTGGACAAGCCTCAGCAGAAGTCCTTGATAAACATTTTCAGCCGTTCGTCTGGAGTTTTTAGAGTTGGAGCTGATGGGGTTAGAGTCCTGTGTGTGTCACTGGGTAGGACCTAAGGCAGTGATTCACCTCACTGAACTTCACCTGCATTACCTGTAATGAAGGCGACACTGGCTCCAGCCTGTGGGCTTGTGTGGTTAACAGAAGAGGCAATATTGTGCTTGGCTTAGAGCATACAGTCAGCACCCCAGTTGTCACTGTCCCTTCCTTCCATTAGACACTGTGTTATAAGTAACCCCATATGTGAGTGTCCTCAACCTCTGTAGGCATGGCAGACCTGACCTGGCAGTATTGTCATAGGGATGAGAGATGGCCCTCGTCAAGTTCCTGGCACACAGTGGGACCTTGCATGTATTTGGCAATGGTAGCATCAGCCTTAAAACATATATGACCCTGGCTGAGACCCTATGGAGTTTCCGATCCATATAACTTCACAGGGGAGTTTGTCATTTGCCACTCCTATGCAAGAGGCAGCTGCTTTGTTGGGTGTATTTTATGACTCACTGGGGAGAGCAAAGGCAGAATGTCCTTAACACAGGCAGGACCTCTGTTGCTAATTCTGGTAAAGCAGAGCCAGTTGAAGGGCTGTGGGGTGAGAGATCTTCCCTGGGACAAGGGGTGGGCCTGCTCTCTTTAACTCAACTCTGGAAGGAAGGAAGTGACTACCATCTCCACCGCTCTCAGCGGCTCCTTCCTCAGTGCTGAGCACTAACCAGAGCAAAGGAAACTGCCTGCCTGCCTGCCTGCCTTCTATGTTCTGTGAGGCCTCAGCTCTTCAGACTTTCATACGGAGTTACAGATGGTGCCCAGGGTGGGTCCTCTCTATGAGCTTACCTGCTTCTGAGACTGGGGATCAGTGCTCAGTACTCCACCACCAGCCTGTCTGGGAAGGGTTTGCGCCATCTTAGCTCTAGAGACCTGTGCTCCGTGTCCAGCCCTCTGCATGACAGTCATCCACCGTGAAGGCATACTTTACCCATTGTATTAAATTGATCCGTGAAGATTTCTTTGTGACAGGTCTTCTGATTAGAAAAGTCATATGGTAAATTGCTAGGAATATAGGGAGACAGGAGAAAATGGTTCTGCTTGTTTGTTTGTTTTGTTTTAAGGCCCCTAATTGTTAAATGTTGAACTCAGGTAAGGCTATGGGCTATGGAAACACTGCTTTCCTACCTACAACCACAGACTGAACATTTTGGGCATAAAAGTGTCCCTTTAAGTCTTGGAAGCCACAGGGATAAGGAGCTTCATAACCCCACAGTCTTAGGGGTAAGAAGAGTGTCCGGTAGTGAGCAGACACCGCTCTGTCAGCCCTTCCCTAGAGGTTTCCTCTGCAGGATCTTCTGGTATTAATCCAAATTGAAGAAGTAATCATCTCCCATCAAATTCATCCCCAGGAAGTATTTGCACATCTTTCACTGAACACACACAATAAATTTACTATTATAAAACTAGCTCTAAAATGAGAAGAGACCAGCAAACTCCATGATTTTAGGGTTAACAGCCTTTCCTTTAGTTCTAATGCATACATGATAGTGGCATGTGTGTCTGACTGCTTATCTTTATAGTGTGCACAATAAGAAGATATATCCATTTAGAGACTGGAGATAAAGCCCAGGTTGTAGAATGCTTGCTTGTCTGGTAGGCATAAACCATAGGTTCAAGCACTACCATAGCATAAACCAGATCTCTCTTCCAGAACCTGGGAGATAGAGGCAGGCCTTCCTCAGGAACATAAAAGTTTGAGGATAGCCTGGGTTTCATGAGACCCCTGTCCCTACCACTTGAAAAGAATGGAAAAGAAAAGGAAAAGGAAAGAAAAGAAGGAAGGAAGGAAGGCTACAGCTCTTTGGGTTTCCAAGCTGGAGTGATACTTGGTGGTGTGGGAGCTAATGAAAGCTCAGAACAACTGTCACCCTACCAGGAGTGACCCAGCTCAGAGGCAGCTGTGGAGCACAGCCTGCAAGGATGAGAGACCAAGATGAGGATGAAGGGTAAGGAAGGCAGCTCAAAGGCTGCTGATGCTGTCTGTTGACAAAGAGGAGAGGAAGAGAAGTGGGGTCAAACTGCTCAAATGTCCTTCAGAGCAGAATTTCTCATCTTTGAGCTTACAGTAAGACTGTAATATTTATTTTGTGTGTGTTTCTGTGTATGTGTGTGCGGTGTACATGTGGTAGCCATAAGACAACTTCTTGGAGTTAATTCTTTCCCTCCACCATGTGAGTTCTGGGGATGGAATTCTGGTTGTGGCAATATGTACCTGCACAGCCCTCTTACCAGCCCAAGAATTGTTTTTCAAAAGTATAAGTTCCTGAGTATTTTCCTGTCTTCAGGATTTATAGACCCACTAGGCTGGAGTGGAAGGCCCCTCAGGTCACTATCTTAGTCCTTCATTCTATTGAGATGTAACAACCTCTGCAGTGTGAATAGCATACACCAACATCTGTGCACATGGGAAAGGAAGTTTATTGATCCACCACCAGGAGGACCAGTGATGCATCTGGTCTGGGTGTGGGTACATGAGAGCTTAGGCTGAGTCCTCAGGACTCTGTCTCTCTCCATCTTCTTTCCATCCATTTCTTGCTCTTGGCTTCCTTTTCAAACAACCCCTCATACAGGGCAGCATGAGCCCAAGCCAGAGTCCGACGATGGACCGACTAGCCAGCCCTTTGTCTCCCTCTGAACCAGTCACTGAGACTTCGGAGCCATAGCAGAACAAGAAATAGTAAAGTCAGCAGCACCCAAACCAGGTAGACCCCAAGTGGGGAAGGGTGAGCCCATATGAAGGCAGAAATGTTAATCAGACATGCAGTGGACAGAAGTATAGGTTTGGGAGGTGAGATGTCTCTCAGATATGAATAAAATGAGATACAAACCAGGTGTGGTGGTGTAATCCTGTAAAGGCAGGATCAAGAGTTCAACCCAATCCTCAGTAACATATCAAGTTCAAGGCCAGCCTGGACACCAAGGCTGACAACCTGAATCCTATCCCCAGGAGAATGTGGTGAAAGGCTCTCGTTTCTTATTGAAGTTGTGTGCTCAGCTCCACACATGTGCCATGATACCTTCGAACACTCAAACACACACAAAATAAGTTTAAAAATACAGAGAGAAGTTGGTGGTACACACCTTTAATCCCAGCACTTGGGAGGCAGAGACAAGTGGATCTCTGAGTTTGAGGTCAGTCTGATCTACAGAGCAAGTTCCAGGACAGCCAGGGATACACAGAGAAAATAAATAAATAGGTAGGTAGGTAGATAAGTAGGTAGGTAGGTGGGTAGATAAGTAAAAGAAACTTTATTTCTGTCTAACTTGGGGTTTCTGTGGAGAAGCCATTTGAACGTTCACAGTGGTGAGTGTGACTGCCTTGCTTGTGACTGCATGCCCACGGTTAAACCCGCACACAAGGAGCAGTCAGTCACTGTGTGGGAAATTCTTTTTCTTGTTCCCTAGACTAGCTTGAATCTGCACTCACCCCAGAGAGCTGAGGTTCTGGGTGGTCCTGGGGCTCTGGTCATCATGGTATAAATACAGAAGTGTTCTGCTCTATGCTCCCAGATCAAAGTGCAAACAGTCCAGGCTAAACCATCACAGAAGCCATGTATCAGAAGGGAAGGACCTTTTCTTTCACCTTTGAGCACAGCTAGACTAATGCCCCATCTGAATTCCTGCTCATTTTCCCATCTGTGTTGGAGTGCCTTCTTCTGACTCCAGTGAGCCACTGCATACGGAACTAGATTAGGACCTGTCCCTAGGAGGCTTTCAGTGTGGCAGGCCTTGACAGAAGAACCCTGTCCAACGTCACAGAGCCCCTCTTCTGTCTTCAGCTCACCACTTTACTTGTAACCAGTACCTGTTCTCTAAGTGGCCAGGCTTGTGGGTGGGGGTGAGGGCCATGAGCAGAAAGACAGTAGGTGGCAGAAGCTAAAGTGTGTAGCTCTGGAGCAGCAGTTTCAGTGTAGTGATGGTGTCAGGGTGCAGTCCTAGTTTACACTGAGGAGTGTGTCAGGAGCGGCTTTCTGGAAGAAGAAGTATTTCAGCCAGCTTCCCACAACAGCAGAAAGGACTGGGCATGCGTTGGGGGTTGGAGGGTCTTCCAGAAATAAGTGGATAATGTCTCCAGGAAGTCTCGGCTATTCTGTGGACTGAATGTGCTGCTGCCATTACAGGGACAGGGACAAGGTGGAGCGGCAGGCCATGCCACAGGCCAACCACACTGACACCTGTCCAGAATGTGGCCACATGGGACCTGGACACTCAAGAGATTGTCCTCATCGAGGCTATGAAGACTCCTTTGGCTTCGACAGGAGGGAGCAGGAGGAGGAACGCTTTCGTTCTCAAAGGGACCCACTGGAGGGCAGGAGGGACAGGAGCAAGGCCAGGTCCCCATACTTGCAAGCTGAAGAGGATGCCTTGTTTGTGGATCTACCTGGTGGGCCCCGAGGCCAGCAAGCACAGCCACAGCGAGCTGAGAAGAACGGGGTGCCACCTTATGGCCCAGGAGAACAGAATGGGACCAGTGGGTACCAGCGGACTGCTCCTCCCAGGGCCAACCCAGAGAAACTCAGCCAGAGGAAGACCAGCCTGGCCCAGGCAGAGCACTGGGCAAAGGCTCAGAAGGCAGATGGCAGGAGGTTAGTCTGGGGTTGAAAGTGATAATGAGGGTGGGATGGGTGGAGAGCTGTCATTTCTCCAGTACCTGCTCAGCTAATTAACCACTCTACCTCTATGTGAATAACCTTAACGGCCCTCTCAGGAAAGATGATAGCTCTAATTTACAGACCAGAAAAATGCCTAGGACATACAGATTAGTGGCAAGGCTGGAGAATAAAGTGTGGTCTATGGACCTCTGCCCGCCAAGAAGACACAGGGATGGACAGCAGTGTCGATAGCCGATCGACTTTACACCGCTGTCCCTCTGCTTCCAAGAAGTCTCTATGGACTCTTGAGAGCACTGAGACCCAGGAGTCACCTCCCAAATGCTTGGAGGAGCCAGGGAGGAGTCTGGAGAGGAACCCAGACACTGTAAACACTCATCCCGTCACTGGGTATAGGCTCATTTGAAGAAAATTAATTTATGTGTATCGGTATTTTGCCTGCATATATGTCCAAGTGCCAGATATGTAGCTGGTGCCCACAGAGACCAAAAGAGGGCATTGATTCCCCTAGAACTGGAGTTAGAATCAGTACCATGAGGATGGATGCTGGGAACTAAGCCTGAAGCCTCTGAAGGAATAGCAAGTGCTCTTAACAGCCAAGCCATCTCTCTAGACCCTTTCTTTTTTCTCTTTTTTGTAGATAGGGTCTCACTATGTAGCCTTGTTGGCCTGGAACTCACTACGTAGACCAGGCTGGCCTTGAACTCATAGAGCTCCACCTGCCTCCACCTCCCAAGTACCATGATGAAAGATGTGTACACCACACCTACCCAGAGCTAGTTTCAGATCTTAAATCTGCAGGCAGTAGACTATAGAAATGACGGAGCCACCAGAAGGCCTGGCCCTCAAGAACCTTTCTTTGGAGAAAGTCCTTGCAAAAAAATCAGACCACTGAGATTCTAACTTTTTGTTGATGAAATGTGTCTGCAGAAGGTTTTCTCTGCCCACAGACCTTCCTTATTCCACTACACACAATGGTCTGCCCTGTGGGAGACACAGAGATAGCATGTATGTCAGGGAGCTGAAGTGGGGGTGGCCAGCATGGGGATGAGAGGCAGTGATACTGAGGGCTTATGGAAAGCAGAGTGTCGAAAAGATGCACATTGGCCCCTGTCCTACACACACACACACACACACACACACACACACACACACACACACACACAGGTATATGATAATTTCCTATGGTAAGTAACCAATGGATCTGGCCCCTTAGTGAAGGAACTAACTCTATTTTCCTCCATTTTCCATTTGAAAACAGAAAGAAGCCAGCTATCTCTCATATGTGTAGTGTAAGACTGTGCTGACCTCATTGTTACTGGACAGAGCACAGAGGCATTGGACGGAAGTCCACATGGGGAACTATTTCTCACTTATCCCCATATTTTGAGATATATCTATATTGCATCTCCTGTCCTTTAACTCTGCTGGAATGAAGTTAGCAAGAGGCTCACCCTTCTAGTCCTAGTCTTCCATCTCCACCCACACCCAGTGTTTAAAGTGTACTCATGAAAGAAAAGGGTGGGGGAGGCCAGGGACTAAAAGCAGACCAGAAGGAACACAATAGGAAATGAAAGGCCTGCATGATGAACGTGCAATCAAGGGTGGTCACAAAGGTCCACCTTATGTTTGACGTGACTCTCTGCAGCCACTTTCTCAGGATATCCTGTTTAACTTTTCTGGTTTTGGAACCACAGAGCAGGTAGAAGAACAGGAGTTCTTGATACCAGACTATGTAAGGCCAGGTTGGACATATGTCTGTTGTCAGGATAGAGCTGTCCCTCCCTCCACCAGCCAGTTTATTATTATAGTTTGGCTGCAGGAGCCAGTGGCCACCATCATACTATTGTCTGAGGTCTCCCTAAAAGACGGACAATGCATAGGTGGAAAGCAGGGACTGAGGATAGCCTGAAGATTTGGGGCACTGCCTAATAGTGAAGAGTGGGAGGCTGTGACCATCTAAACATGGTAGGCAGGTACTCTGCATAGGGTGTAGAGAGACAGAAGGAGCAGCCCCACACCTGCTGTCTGCTCTGGCTACCACCTCTGAATATTTGGGCGCTGCCACATCAGAGGCTTTGGAAAAATGAATGAAAAATCTCTGCCATCTAGTGGCAAGCAGACACACTTGCATGCTGGACAGGTTTGGGTTGAAGAGATCTTAAAATTACCTCAGCTGAATGAAAAGAAACTGTGACAGAGAAGCTGCCATATTTGATGACACCTATTTCTATTTCTCAAAATGGTTATTCAGGGGTGCTTATCTTCCACATTTTTACAGAGAGGCAAGTGAGAGTAGAGCAGAAGAGACAGGCCTGAGGTCAGACAGGTTCAAGTGATGTAATAGGATCAGAACAGTACTCGTCAACCTCTGGGGGCTGTTTAACAGGGGAACACACTCTACCCAGGGGTTATGATTCACAGGTCTACTGGGCTGAAAACCTACATTTTCAAACTATATTTTATATAGAGTTTTGATCCCAGACTGGCTTCTGGTCTGTTAATGCCATGCTGGGAGTTGAACCCAGGGCTTTATGGATACTAGACAGACTCTTAAAACTGAGCTATATCTCTAACATGTATTTAAAAGTTTTTGGTTTTGGGTTTTTTGTTGTTGTTGTTTTGTTTTGTTTTTTTCGAGACAGGGTTTCTCTGTGTAGCCCTGGCTGTCCTGGAACTCACTCTGTAGACCAGGCTGGCCTCGAACTCAGAAATCCACCTGCCTCTGCCTCCCAAGTGCTGGGATTAAAGGTGTGCACCACCACCGCCCGGCCTAAAAGATTTATTTTATTTTGTATGTGTTCCTGTTATCTGCAGAGGTCAGAAAAGAGTCAGAGCCCCTGGAACTGGAGTTACAGATGGTTGTGAGCCACCATTGTTGGTGCTGAGAATTGAACCCAGGTCCTTTGCAAGAGCAGCCAGTGCTAAGGCATCTCTCCAGCTTTTACTTTTAACCAAACGTAATAATTATGGGACTAGAGAGATGGCACTTGGCATGAGTGTTTCTTGTGCAGTTCCACCCATGCCAGGCATCCCAGTGTTAGGGGGCAGACAGACGGATCTGGAAGCTCATTGCCTAGCTAACTTAGTTAGAACAAGAAGTTCTAGGTCAGTGAGAGACACTGTCTCAAGGGAATGGGCAGAGAGTGTTAGAGCAGGATACTTGATATCCTCTTCTGGCCTACAGACACAAACATATATGGGCATGCACACTCCAACACATGTGCATACGCACACATACACATAATCATACATCTGAAAAGGTAATAGTTATATACTGATGGGGTAGATGGGACATTTTGGTATATGCATACATTGTGAAGTTGTTGAAACAAGTTAATATCTATCGCCTCACCCACCTATCCTTTATGTACATGTGGTAACGACAATCAGTCTATTCTTTGAGCAGTCTATTCTTTTGATGTATATTATTATTAACTGTGGTCACCATGTTGTGTACAATGGGGGCTCTGATACATGCTCACTTGAAAGTTGCACAGCTCACCAACGTCTCCTGCCTCTTCATTCTTGCCATCCCCAGCTTTACTCTTTGCTTCTCTGCATCTCACATACAAGTGAGATCAGGCAGTTGTCTGGCTTAATTCAGGAGCCTGCATTTTGAATAATGCCTCCGGTGTTGTTGCTGCTGCTGCTGCCACCTCCACTGACCATATACTTGGAGTTAGCCTCGGCCCAGAACAAAGATTGACACACAGTGATGTTTTTGTAATAAATTTGCTATGTGAAGTTGATGAGACAGAATTAGGATTTGAACTCGGGCTTCTGTAACACCAGAGCCTATTCTCTTTACAAGGCCATACTGACTTGCAGATTAGACTAAAAAAAGCAAAGGGTAACCAAAAAAATTGTGTGCGTGTGTGTGTGTGTGTGAGAGAGAGAGAGAGAGAGAGAGAGAGAGAGAGAGAGAGAGAGAGAAAACGCACGTGCTTGAGCAGGCACATGGATGCTGCATTGCACACACAGCAGTCAGAAGACAACTTTTGGGAGTCAGTTCTCTCCTGCCGCCATTGGTTCTGGGGATTTAGTTCAGATTATCAGGCCTGCTTGGCAAACACTCTTATGTACTAAACCATCTCAATGGCCATAAACTGTAAAAAAATTTGTTTTACTTTATGTTCTGAATGTTTGGCCTGCGTGTATGCCTGTGCATTGCTGTGCATGTCTGTTGCCTATGAAATTCAGAAGGTGGAGTTAGAGCTCTTGGAACTGGAGTTACAGATAGTTATGAGCCTTTTGTGGCTGCTAGGAATTGAACCCGGGCCCTCCGCAAAGCAGCCAATACTGTCATTGTCAAGCCATGTCTTCAATCCCTAGTCTTTTTTGTTTTTAGATGTTATTTCCTGTATCTTAGGATAGCCTAGAACTTACTGTGTGGCTGAGGGTGGCCCTGAACTCTTTGTCCTCCAACCTCTACCTCCCTGTTGCTATTATAGGTGGTATATGCCACCACACCTGGCCATGGGTGGAAGGGAAGTGTTGTCAGAAAGGTACAGATTCTGCTAAGGAACTTTTGATTCATGGGATGCATTTTCCCTTCCTGACCTCATTAGTTCTCAGAGCCCCTAGATGAGGCAGTAATACTACCTCACATGCAGGTAGGGAAACTGAGGCTCCTAGCAGTCAGTAAGTCTCCTGAGATCACATAGCCAGTATATGTAGAATCCAGATTGAAAACCTACTTTTGCTTTTTGCTCAGTGAGAAGTTACTGAGGTAGGGAGCTCTGTGGTGGACGACCGTGTGGGATGCTCATAGTATGTGTGGGGGTGAGGGTGTTCCTCTATCCCTGGCAGTCTAGGCTGCTGGCCAGCCGCTGGTCTCAGCCCTGGAGGGAGCAGTGAGAAAACAGTGAGGCCTCAGGGTGGGTTGTAGTCTGTCAAGAGAGCCCTGAGTACCAGGCAAGGATTTCAAGGGAGCTGAGGTTTGAGTGATGAGATAAGGTGACCTTGTACAAGAAACACATTATTAGGAGGCTCTCAGAGTTCTCTGCAGGAGGGAAGGAACCAGTGTCTGGGTTCAAAGGGTAGCAAACAGAAGACACCCCACCCCACCCACCTCCAGCCATTTTCTTTGTGAGTTCTGAGGGCTGGTGCTGGGTTCCCAGACAGAAGGAAAGCTTCTCTCCCCCAGAAACTGTGAGGCCTTCCCAGACCAACACACATTGCTTGTCACTGAGCTGGTAAGAGAAGAGAGGCAGTTTAATCACTGCACCAGGAGTGATGAGCACGGGAACCCTGTGGTAGTCCTGGCTCTTGGAGAAAACTGGTTCTGGGTTCTTCTGCAGTCAGAAGCCCCGGGTGTCTGCATCAGTCACTGTTTGGGGTCCTCACAGTCTTTCCCACAAGATGATTTTGTTGATTTCCTTAGCTGCATTGCCTTGTGTGATGGCCTGACATGTTCTTTGTCCTTCTCAGCTTGCCCTTAGACCACACACTTCCTCGCCAGGGACCCAGCCAGCCCCTGTCCTTCCCAGAAAACTACCAGACTCTTCCCAAGAGTGCTAGACATCCTTCTGGGAGCTCTTCACCCCCTCCCCGGAACCTGCCCAGCGACTACAAGTATGCACAGGACCGAGCCAGCCACCTGAAGATGTCCAGTGAGGAGCGCCGGGCACACAGAGACGGCACTGTGTGGCAGCTGTATGAGTGGCAGCAGAGGCAGCAATTCCGTCATGGCAGCCCCACTGCACCCATAGGAGCTGGCTCCCCAGAGTTCACCGAGCAGGGCCGCAGCCGGAGCCTGCTAGAGGTGCCCCGCTCCATCTCTGTGCCTCCATCTCCTTCTGACATCCCTCCTCCGGGGCCTCCAAGGCCCTTTCCACCCCGGCGGCCACATACACCAGCAGAAAGGGTCACAGTGAAGCCACTCGACCAGAGGAGGAGTGTGGACATCTCTCTGGGGGGTTCTCCCAGGAAGGCACGGGGTCATGAGGTCAAGGTGAGGCCTGGGAACTTCTGCCAGGTGACTGGAGTCTTGTATTGAAAGACAGAGTGATTTAGTGGCTGCCTGGCGGCCCACAGGTCAGGAAACAGTGTTGGCATTCAGTCAGTCCTCTTATCTATAACAACCCAGCTGAGGTTGAACTCTCAGGGCCTTTCAGTTTGCTGTGCCCAGTAAGGAAGGTGTCCATTTCGGAGACCAGGCACCTAGGGCTCAGGGAGATGGAAAGATGCATGGTGGGCAGTCCTGGCAGTGAGTAGCTGAGGTCTCCTTGCCTAGCCTCAGTGTGGCTTCTCCTCTCCTGTTACAGAACTCCTCTCACGTGGACCGGCATTCCATGCCCTCCATGGGCTACATGACGCACACAGTGAGCGCTCCCAGCTTACATGGAAAATCGGTAAGCTGGCCCTCACTTCCCTCTCCGGGTGACTGACATGGTGTAGAATACAAGATCCTACCCCATAGTATTCTCTCCCTCAGAGCCAAGCTGTTGCAGCCCACAGGGCAGCTTTCAACCCCTTCTTGATAATAAGGAGACAGCCCCAGTGAGCACTCAGGAACAGGCCCTCCAAAGACTGAGGAAAGTGGAGGGTTATGTTGGGCTGGTCCTCTCTTTGGATTTTGTCAGAAGTATATTCCAGCTACCTGCTTTCTCCTTCAACACCTCTCCTTTCTTCCCTGGCTTTCACTCGATTAACTCTCCCTTCAAAGCACCCATCCTTCTGGGTGAAGCTGAGCTGGTGGCTTCCAGTACCCTACGCTGGCGGTGCCTTTATTTGCCCTAATGATGGGGTCAGTGTGATCATTGCCTGGCGGTGTCACGTCAGTGTTGTCCTGGCACGGGGTGAAGAGTATAATTGCAGTGGTGTGCCTCACAGTGGCTAACACCCTCCCAATGTGTCTACGTGCCCACAGCTGGAAGAGCTCTCGTTGCTGCTCACCCGGTTGCAGCGGCACCAGTCCAAGTTGGCCAGCGTGCGAAATTTCGCCGTGGGCCAGTTACTACACCACTACTTGACCTTTCCTGCCTGCCAGGTCAGCGCCGGTGGGCCCTCCTGAGCCCAAGCAGGGATGGCCTGTCTCCCATGTTTCCTTGTGACGTGCTCTAGTCTGTCCTGCTGGCTGGCTACCTGCCTCTTCCCTTGCCTGTCTGCTTCTGGGTGCTACAGCTAGTGACTGCTAGTGGAGTGCCTCCTCTCTGGTACAGGGGAGAGGCTGCATGGGGTGGAACAGACCTGAATCGTGCTTCTCGGGCTGTGGAGAGTGGCAGGCTGCTGCGTGGTCGTCTTGTCTAAGAGCTGTGCCCCACCAGCATTATTGCTCATTGAAGACACATGTGGGTCAGCCTGGAGGGAAATGTAGGGCACCTCCGCTTGCAGAACAGTCCTCATCTCTTGTCCTATCTAGCTTTGTGGGAACCTGCATAAGGATGGGATGGAAGTATCATGGGTCAAGAGGATCCTGAAGGGGCAGTAACTCACCATGTCTCACCAAGAGCTTGCAGGCTGGAGCCAGAATCTCAGTCCTACTGGGGTTAGTTTTAAACAGCATCAGGGCCTTGGGCTTGGTATCCAAGCTTCTTAAGATTGCCCAGGGAGTTGCTCTCTTGGGCTCCTGGAGCAGCTAAAGGAAGTGGACTCTTGCCTGAAAAGTTGTCCTTGGGCAGCAGTGGTTCAGCCAGATAAGCCTGATCCCTCCATGCAGTACAAAGCCAGGCAGGGGACACTTGGGGGGAGGAGGGTGCTGGGATTGTCACTTTCCTTCCCTGGCCCCTTTTAGCAAGACCTGAAGAACTCAGGAAATATAGTTAGAAAGATGAATGTAAGAGAAGATATATTAAAAACAAGCAAACAAACAAACAAAGTAAGTCGTGAGACTAAGTAGACTCAGTGTCTAAAGAGCCATGCAAGTGTAACCCTGTAAATGCCGAGTGGGTGTGGCCATCCTCCTGTGATTCCAACTCTAGAGCAAGCTACCTAGTACGACTAGTCAAGTGTATCTATCTGTGAGCCCTGGGTGATGGAGAGACCCTACCTTATAAATAAGGTTGAAGAGCAATGGAGGGCTTACACATGTGTGCCCCACACAAAATATGCATATTTACATGTGTACCACATACAGAGACACACGGCAAAAAGGAAAAGAAAAATGTCGTAAGTCCTGAATTTGACTTTAGCATTCTCTAGCTGTCTTTTCTTCTCCTGTTCAACGTGTGCAGGGACAGTGACTTGGGGAAGTGAAATGAGGAAGGAGGCAGTCCAGGGAAAGAAATAAGCCTATGCAAGCTACAGCATCCCTCAAAGACAGGGCTTCCATGCCTAAGCAGCATATGAACTTCTCCTGTGTGGCGGTGACTGGCTTTCACCAGAGCTGTGCACCTTCCCCATCCTTGGCTTGTTTAGCTGGAGGCCTCAGTTCACTAAGAACATGGTATCTGGACCATTCTTCATCTCTGGCAACTCCTCTGCCTCAATTAGCTTCTGTGATCTGCTGAACCAGGAACATGACTTGTGGGAAGCCCTTTTCTGAATAATTGCACTCAAGTGCTTGATAGACCAATGAAGACACCACAAGCAAGTTTCACTCAGGCCCCTAATGTGGCTGCTCTGACTTCTTGCTGAGCAAAAAGAGCAAAATTTCCAGGAAAATTTCCAGCAGCTGCTATTTTTCCCTCTGGAGTCTAAAGTCATACCAGGCCCTCCTCTCTCTGCCTTTTCCAGTCATCCATCCACATTACTTGGGGTCTTGTTACTTCATGCATGTGACAACCCAGGCCAAAGGTTTGATGCCAAGAATTGGAACAGCTGTGTCAATGGGATCCTAGCTTTGGGCATGGCGAGTGCTATTCCAGGCAGCTCTCCTGGTTCTGCCTCAGGAACCCGGCCTCTGCCTCATCTGCTCTTCTGCCCTAGCCCACGTGTTGGGTCCTCCCCATCAAACTGCAGTGGGTGTAGGATAAGCCAGATTTCCCCACTGTGACCCACAAATTCTGCCCTGCTGAAAGAGGGCTCTGAGTTGCAACAAGACATCTGTGCTTCCTCTGTGGCCTGGTGTGTTGATCTGCTGTGGTCCTGTGTCTCCAGTGTAATGTGAATGATCTGCCTTCGAAGACCCAGGTTATTTAAACCTTGGCGTTTGTAACTGTTTTGTTTTTTCCTCTCTGCTTCCTTGGAAGGCTGATGACACCTACCTCCAACTGAAGAAGGACCTGGAGTACCTGGATCTCAAGGTGGGTGGTAGGGCTGGAAGATTGCTTAAGGGTCAGGAGTACTTGCTGCTTTTGCAGAAGACCCAGGTACCCAGCACCCACCTCAGGTAGTTCAATATTAATCCATTCTAGAGCATTCGATTCCCTTAGGCTTCCACAGGTACTCCAATCCACGTGAGGCACATAAGTTCACACAGGCATGCACACTACTCCTAAATAAAGGTAATAAGTCTTTAAAGGTGAGTGGCATCAGAATTCCACCTACTATGGACATTCATCTTTCTGCAAGCATTACTTACTGGAACCCAACACTTGAGTTCCAGACCCTAACTGGAAACTCTTGTCTGAATCGGGAAAAAGTCATTGTTTATTATCTGACTCTTGTGGAGTTGCTGGTGAGCCCTGTTATGAGATCTCTGGCCTAGAGAATGTGAGGGTCATGATTTTGATCTGTTCCTTCCCTTGGTTAGAGGCAGAAGTTCCTGGGAAATAGCCGGTGGCTTTGCCAGGGCCTCTGCTGCTGGTAGGGGTGTGTTTGGTTCATAGGGAGTTGGCTGGTATGTGTGTTCAGCCACAGCTGACATGGTGGGGCCCTTTGCTTTTGTTGATGAGCGAGTAAGTTCTACATGGAGTCATGGGGCTTTGAGGCCTACCAGTAGCCTCTCCATTTGGAGCTGAGCACTGGGTGCCTGTGGGTACTTGAAGCTCAAGCTATTACTTAGCCTTTACAGCAGAGCTGTAAAGGCCTAAAAAAAGGTGCCGCTGACTTGCCACAACCCACAAGCTCCCTCTGGTGATTAGCCCTCCTCATGCTGGAGCTCTGGAACAGACTGGAGGAGCATAACCTTAGTCAACCCAGGGAAGGAAGAGGGTTGTAGACCATGTTTATTTTCACTGTACTGTATACCTAGCTCAAGACATTTCTGATGCAGGATGTCTCCCAGCCTCAGGGATGGCAGGAAATGGATGTGATGGATTGGACAGGGAAGTTGCATCCTGGGGTAGCTTCCTTAGCTAGGAGCTATGTGACCTGAGGAGGTATCCTGGATGCTGATATTGTCATGAGAACAGCTGGGCTTGTAGCCAGTTTCCTGGTTGTGTATCTGCTACTGTAATTACTAAGCTCTTCTCAGGGAAGTAGTCCAGGGGTGAACCTCTCCTGCAGCTAGAAGAGACTTGACTCTATCTGCCCAAGAGAGAGGAGAGAGGTTGTATATGGAGTAATGATCAGAAAGGCCAGTGTGCTTGTGTGACTTCCATCAGAGGGCAGGGACCTGTTCTGGCATGCACAGACCTAGAAGAGTGGTTCACTGCAGTATGCAGAGCCCAGGGTTGAGGGCCTGCAGATGATTATGTTTAAAGATGTTCAAAGCCTGCTTAGTCTAAACATGCCATTCCAATTTCAGGCGTCAGGGGTAGCAGTCCAGGGTGTTAAGCATAGGGTGTCTCTGCTCTGCCTACCTTGATATGCTTATGTCCCCTTCACCTTTGAATTCAGGTTCCCCTCCTCCCCCAGCATCTTTATGGAACGAGGGAGGGTCTCCATGATAAGTGTGCCTGTGAGAAGACTCACAGCAGCAGCTACACACATGTAGTACAGTGACAGGGAGTTAGGAACAATTTGGGAGAAATGGAGACAGGCTGTAAAGCTCTGGTGTGTCACCATGTGTTTTCTGTGACTCTAAAGAGGATTAAGCCAAGCAGATGGCAGCTATAGGCAGATGGTTCAGTTGGTAGAAATGCTCTTCTGAAGGGCTTTCTCTGTGGTGGTGAATATCCTCTCACAGGGCTGCACAGATTGGAACTCCAATATGTGGATCCTATAACATGCTGAGCAGGATGTGCTTGAAATAAGGGCGACGTGGATGTGGGTACTGCAGGTAGAGACAGCACAAGAAGAGGCTCACACACTCAGGAAAGTGGATGCTCTTGAATGAGCCCTGAGAACCACCTTGCATTTGAGAGACAAGCTGTGCCCCTCTAGGAGCATCCTCTATGGTACTAGCGTGTTTTGGAGAGTGCTTGCTCTCTTGGTGATGCCAGGGTATAAAGGACTGAGTAGTAGTGGAGCTTCTCTTCTTCCTGGCAGTGTCTGGGCACTTAGTTCATTTGTGTTTTAGTTCTCACAGTAACTGAGTAATAGGAATTACTGTCCCTAAACTGTTAACCAAGAAGCCATGTCTCAGAGAGGTTAAGGGAGGTCTGTAAAATTCCATGGCTGGAAATGACTACAGCCCTGAGGTTTTCATCTGTGGGCTGTGTTTCCATCATGAAATTCTGCTTCCCAGAACCTGAACTCCATTGACTGGCTGTGGTCGGGTTGCTGTTGTCCATAGCATTTTTAAAAATTATCCTTTTAGATAGTGTTTCACAGTGTTACCCAGGCTGGTCTCAAATATCTGGGCTCAGTGATGCTCCTGGACTATGGATGTGTGCCTGTACTCCCAGCTTTGAGTTATTTTTATACAGCCGTGAAATGTATCCAGGTGAGGCTGAGCAGAGTGTCTTTGGCTTCTCAGGTGATGCCTTTGTAGACACAAAAGGTTGCCTTCAACCCCAGGGAGTCTCTTGTCTCTGAGGATGAGTGTACCATTGTTGGCTTCACATCTGTAGCACTGTGAGCTCTCTCTGACAGTTTGAGCCTGAGATCAGGGCTTGTTCATTTCCAAAGTCAGCTTCTGGGGCAGAGTTTTTCAGGTTGTTATCTGGGGCATCAGCTATTTCTAGAGCATCTAGGAATGTGGTTTTAAAAATATAGATCTAAGTACGATGATACACACCTGGGGTCCCAGCTTCTTGGGGGACTGAGACAAGAGGATCATTTGAGCCTATAAGTTAGACTAGGCCAGCCCACAGAACATAATGACTTTCTCCCTTTAACAAAAAAAAATTTTTAAGCTGGGCATGGTGGCCTTGAGTCCTGGCATTGAGAGGGAGTGGAGAGTGAATCTTTGTGAGCTTGAGGCCAGCCTAGTCTACATAGTGAATTCCAGGACAACCAGCAAAGCTTCCTATAGAGACTCTCTGTCACAAAGAGCAAACAAACTTCAGAGCCTAGCATGATTCATGCCTTTAGACCCAGCACTCAATAAGGCAGAGACAAAGGGATTGCTTCAAGTCAAAGCCTACCTGGGCTACATAGTTCCAGGCCAACCAAGGATACAGAAGCCCTGACTACTCAAAAATAAATAAATAAAAATAAATTTAAAAGCAGGGGTTAGAGGTAAAGCAGGAATAGGTACTTGCTACCAAGCCTCATGACCTGAAACCAGGACCCATGTAGTGGAAGGGGAGAACCAAGTCCACGGGTTGTCCTCTGACCACACACACGCACTATAGGGTGTACACACAGATGAATTAAGATCTCTACTGAGTTCGCACTCTTGTGCCCAGGATCCTCCGCTCAAGTCACACTCGGGTGTGATTTTTGCACACACTAAAATTTGAGGTCAGCCATTCAGGAACAGAGATTACTATGCCCGGCCATGAACTAAACCACTAGGGAATTTGGAAAATGCACGTCTTAGTTAGGGTCTCTATTGCTGTGAAGAAATACCATAACCATGGCGACTCTTACAAGGGAACACATCTCATTGGTGCTAGATTACAGTTCAGAGGTCCATTATCACAGTGGGAAGCAGGCAGACATGGTGCTGGAGAAGGAGCTGAGAGTTCTACATCTTGAACTGCAGGCAACAGGAAGTGGTTGCCACACTGGATGTGGCTTGAACATCTGAGTTCTCATTGCCTGCCCCCGGTGACCACTTCCTCCAACAAGGCCACATCTTCTAATAGTCTGTGGGGGCCATTTTCACTCTAACCACTACAGTGCACATCAGCGCTTAAGTCTTATGTGCTTAGAGATTCTGACTTAATTGATCAAACAATTCCTTAGGTGTTTTTAAAATACAGTGACAGTTGAGAAAGATTACCTCTAAGTGGTTGTTTTGTATTTTTGTTTGTTTTTGTTTTGAAACAAGGGTTCATCTATCCCAGGTTGTCCTTGGGTGCCAAATGACCTTGGACTTGTATCTTTTTGCCTCTTTCTCCTGAGTACTAGGGTTTTGTAGGTACGTCTATGTCCACTTTATATGGTACTAGATGGAGCCCAGGGCTTTGGGAATGCTAGACAAGCACAGAACCAACTGAGCTACATCTCGGAAGTGTGGCTCTCAAGTATGGTTCCTGACCAGTCACACCATCAATACCTGGGAATCTGTTAGGAATGCCAGATCTTGAGTCCTAGTCCAGACCTGTTCAACTGGGCCCTCCAGGGTAGAGCCCGAGCATTCCAGGTGATTGTACACAGTAAAGGTGGAACGCTTGAGTAGGAATTCTGATGCCAAGCTGGAGGTGTAACTTGGGGTAAAGTACTTGTCTAGTGTACATGAGGCCCTGGGTTCCATTTCCAACACTGTAATAAATATAAAACTTTGTTGGCTTGGGATGTGCCCACCTAGTGGGTGGAGACAGTGTTTTCTTTCTTTGCATTTCTTTAACATGTCTGTGTGCATGTGTGTATGGAGGTGTATGCTAAGGCCTGCATGTGGAGGTCAGAGACAACCTGCAGGAGCTGGTTCTCTCCTTCCACCATATGGCTCTGGGGGATTAAGCTCAGGTCCTCAGGCTCAGTGACAGCATTGCACACTGAGCCATCTCAAGGCCTGACAGACTATATATAGCACCGATTGTAAGCACTTGGGTCCTCTGGTTAGGCATGAACATTTAGCTGCACCCAAGTATGGAGTTGAAGTCCGAGAAATTTCTGTTGGAAATAGTTGTTAGAAATGAGATGAATGCATAAACTGAGTTTCCGGGTGTTACAGAGTCTGGTGAGGCAGTCAGGAAGAAGCAGATCTCTTCTGTCAGGCTTCTCCTCACCTTCCTGAGGCTGAACCAGGAAGGAAGTGAGCCAGGAAGTGGCCCTTGTGCATGGTCAGCCCACACAGGGGCCCCCAAGCAAGCAAAACTGGTTAGGCCAGTTCTTTAGAGGGAGTCCCTAGCTGGGAGCTCACACCACCAAGGCTTACCTGTCTTAACTGTCTGCACACCTCACTCTGAGGTTCCCCTTCTCTAGCCCCCAGACTGTGGCTGCTTCAAGTGTTGTCGAATGTCTCACCTGTTACGTTTTGTTGTATTTGCCTTTCTGTTTGGAACAGATTAAAAATAATGAACCTTTGATCAACGTGCTTTACAAAGTGCTGAAGAAGTCAGCACGGGGCTGTCGGCCCAGGAGAAGCGTAAGATGATCAGATCCGTGTCTCCAGGCGGGGCCATTCCATTGCTTCTGGCTCAGGGCCGGCATCATCACTTGCTTAAGCAGTTGCTCTCCTGACTGCCCCACGCTTCCTGCAAGTCATTTTGGTTGATTTTCTTTAACCCAAAGCTCTCTTCAGCCTTGTGGCTGAGCCGCTCATCTGTGGTGTCCTGTGGCTCCATCTTTTGTGTTGCAGAGGGGTGGGGAGCTTGCCTGGCTTGCCACCAGCTTTCGTTGTGTCTCCATCTTCACTTGTCTGCCTCCACATCCCTAGGGCTGAGCATGAGTTTATGGGAGGGAACAACAATTGTTAACTTTAGAGAAACCTTAGATTTCACTGTCTCTGCCTTTTCTGGGGACAGGATGTTAACATGCAGGTCCCAGTTTGGAACTGGATTGCCACCCTAAGTCTCCTCTGCAATGTAGCGAGCTCTTGGAGCATTCTGAGCAAGACTGCAGACTAGGGGGCAGGTGTCATGTTCTGATGTAGTAGACAAGAGGTGGGGTGGCCCAGGGGCCAAGTCTCTTCCTATGTAGAGATTCTTTAAGATGAATGGGAACCTGAGGCCTTTGATATTTCTGGTGACAGATACTGGGGACATTTGTTGATGTTTTAAGTGGATAGAAATCCTGTTACCACTGAGTGCAATTTAAAAAGGGAAATTTAACTGACATATACTACCCGTGTCTGTAACTGCTCATCAGAGCATCCTTTCTCTGGAACAGAGCTAAGCTGAAGGACCTCTGAGGAGTATAAGTCTTTCAGGGAGCCGGTACTCTGTCGCCTGTGACTTTTACTCCACCGGAAGCCAAACCAGCCTGTCTGATTTTGACATGTTCATGAACTCACTCAGCTAACATTCTCCAGATCTCTTCCATATGCCAGGTCCTGGCTGAGCTTCAAGGATAGAGAGAAAATGCATCCTAGTCTCCACAGTGCCCCCCTAATGTGGTTAATATGTCTGGAGAGGAGAAATGAGCAAACATCATTATAATTCGATACTCTAAGCCCCACAGCAGTGACAGGCACCCTGTGTGAGAGGGACACGCTGAAGGACACCAGACCCACACAAAAGGAAGAAAGAAAGGCAAGGACTTTGAATTCCTAGCTCCCAACATCCTATAAACACCACCCACAGCCGAGAGAACAGAGAGATGCTTATTTCTTGGAAAAGAGGGAATGTGGGTATCCCTGGAGGGAGAGAGAAACAAAAGGTTGGTTCCAGAGTCACTGAGGACAGCAGTAAAGGGCACACTTCCAGAGGGGTCGCCACCAGAAGGTTTAATTCAGATTTTTCTTCCTCAGAATGCCTTCGTGTGTAGATACTTCAGTTCTTTCCTGATGGTGCTGGATAAATGAGGCGTTGCTCAGTTAGATCCTCTGCCTTATTTAAGCAGCTTCAACAAAAAGCTTCAGGGGAAAAGGGGGAAGAGTCTGCTGGGGGAAATCCCCAGAGTGCACCTCATTTTGAAAGTGATTTCTAGCTGGTTAACAAGCCAAAGCCAGCTTCTTCGGAGAAGAGGCCGACTCACAGCCCTCCCCTCGGGGCTCCATATGTTCTAACTATGTTTATGCCTGTTTGTATACACTCTGCGTAGACCCCAAGGAATTCCATGATGCTTGTCGAGCTCTTCCCCATATGCCAGGCCTTATATTCAGGCTCTACCACAAAATAACTAAGGCCAGGGTCCCTGCCCGCTGCTGTGTGACCAAACGGAAGCAGTCCTCAGCTCAAAGCAATAAGTCATTTGCCTTCTAGAGTTAGATGGCTCAGTGGTTAAGAGCACTGGCTTCTCTTCAGAAGACTCAGGTTCTGTTCCCAACCCGCATAGCAACTTACATGTCTGTAACTCCAGTTACCAAAAATCCAACAACCTCTCTGGCCTCCATTGATATATAGACCCATGCATAGGATATAATACACAGACATACATGCAGGCAAAACACCATATATAGAAAACAAATATGCGTGCCAGGCAGTGGTGGCTCATGCCTTTAATCCCAGCACTTGGGAGGCAGAGGCAGGTGGATTTCTGAGTTCAAGGCCAGCCTGGTCTACAGAGTGAGTTCCAGGACAGCCAGAGATACACAGAGAAACCCTATCTTGAAAAACCAAAATAAATAAATAATCTTTTGAAGAAGTCATTTGGTAGTGGCTTGGACTTTCTGAGTGAGGTCGTAGGGCAGTTGGGCACATGGCTGTGGTTAATAAGAAAATGACAGCACTTTTGACTCCTGACTCACACTGGCAAACTTCTTGGGCCTTCCAGATGGAATGGGGAGAGAGCAAATGCTATCACTCCAGCAATTGTCTGTCTATCCATCCTTGGGTCCTCTGCCTAGCACACACTACCTGCCTCTGCTATGGTTACCCTGTTCTCCATGTCTACTGGTCAGAGCTGCAAAACAGAACAGAGAAGGGCTGACTGACTTGAGGTGCATTAAACCTGGCCTTGCCTTGGCCACAGAAGCCAACATCTTTACAGTCTATCAAAGGAAGGTGCCCGTGGAAAGAGAAGCATGGGATAGAGTTGGAATCAGCTTCTCGGGGGTCAGTGAGAACAGGAAGGCAGCAAGCTGCCTGCTTACAGTTGACTGGGGATGTGAACTGGGATGTTCTACTGGCCTGGAGGTGTGGGTGACTTGTTCATTGCTTTGTTGAGGTGGTAAGACAGGTTGCAACTCACTGGAGCACAGCCAAGCCTTGTTGTCTGGATGTGAATCTTAAACCACTGGCTGTCTCTGACCTGGGTCCCTTCCCTCTCTGGCTGGATCTTTTAGTGGTGTAGGATAAGGAAGACTGGCCTTGTCCCTGGGGAAGGTGGCTTCTCAGAGACCTGAAACAGAGACCTGGTCAACAACTGGACAAACTGTGTTTGTCCCTAGTTGTAGCAGCAGGCCTCTCTTACAAATGGGGAACTTCCAAAGCCTCATGGGAATGTGTCATGCTCGTTTGGGGTACACTGATGACCCTGCACTTGAGCACCTGCATTTTCTTTAATTTAATAGTTCTATTAGGATCACCAACAGGTTTCAGTTTTTCCATAAAATGAAGCAGGCATTAAAACCGTGCAGATGGTGCTCAAGTTCTTGCCCATTTTGTGCCACGAGCCTCCCGCCTCTGCTGAGACTTCCACATCCATCCGCCACAGGACTAACCTTCCTTCCTGCTATTTGGCTCCACACACCGCGTTAATAGTAAATTGTTCACCTCCCAGATGACAGGCCGAGACCTTCTTAAGGATCGAAGTCTGAAGCCCATGAAGATCGCCGAAAGTGACATTGATGTGAGTTACCAGTGACAGGCTGGCTCCTTGGCCACCTCCTGACCTGGACCTGGGCATCTTCCCGAAGCATTTCCATATTTTCTGGCCAGAGGCTTTCTGCTCTTATTCCCGATGCCATACGCCATGTTCTCACCCCTTTCCCCCAGCCCTCTCCAACTCGTTCTTCCTCATAGGTCAAGCTGAGCATCTTCTGTGAACAAGACAGGATACTCCAGGACTTGGAAGACAAGATCCGAGCTCTCAAGGAGAATAAAGTATGCATCATTTCTGCATAGTAGTGGGATGGGTGGGAGGACTGCACCTGTCTTGGCTTTGCTGACACAGTATTTGCACTCTTGTGTTAGCATTAATCAACAGGAGAGGTTAGGGGTGTAACAAACTATAGAGTGCTTGCCTAACATGTGTGAAGCCCTGGCTTATATCCTCGTATCACATAAAACAGGTATGGTTAGCATACGCCTATAAGCCTAGCACTTAGATGGTAGACTCCAAATCAGAATTTTCATCCTCAGCTATACAGAACACACACACACACACACACACACACACACACACACACACACACACACAATAAACAAGGGTGTTTTTTTAGTCAGTCTTTTTTTTTTTTTTTTTTTTTTTGTCTAAGGGTATTCCTCAAAGACTTCTATCTGAGCCTCCCCTGTTATAGTTAAAATTAACTGGGGGTTTCTACCCTACTTTAGATCATTCAGTTCCCAAATAAGACCTTTATATTTATAATAAACCTTAAGGCGGATTTCTGAGTTCGAGGCCAGCCTGGTCTACAGAGTGAGTTCCAGGACAGCCCAGCTATACAGAGAAAGCCTGTCTCGAAAAACAAAACAAAACAAAACAAAAACAAGCCTTAAAGCACTAGAGCTGGGCAGATAGCAACCCTCTAAGCTATTTTGTCTACTTCCCTGTCAATAACTCCGTGACAGAACTTGCTATTTCCTGCTTGGGCCGCTCCTACTCCAACTGGCCAGCCCTCATGACCATGTTCTCATGAGTCACTCACCCATGGTCTTTCTTCTCTTCACTTCTCTGCTCTCCTCATGGTCTCTGCTTCAGATCCCAAGCCCAGCAACTGAAGTCCCGCCTACCTCTCTTCTGCCCAGCTACAGGCTGTACGCATCTTTATTTAACCAATAGTTATAAATTAAGGAACAAGGTTACATAGCATCACTTCATGTATATGCAGATTTCCTTATCCCTAAGACAACTAGATCTTGGGGTCCAGTATTTAGCATTACAATACATAGCAACAGATCAAACCTCAACACTCCCCTCCTTTAGAAAGAGAGTCTGCTTGGTTCATGTACCCCCTTTCTGTGCTGGCCCATTTGTCAGCCTGGGCAGAGAAGTGCTTCTTTGGTAGCTCTGATAGCTTGACACAAGAAACCCAGAGGTCTGCCTTGGAGAAAGTGGCCCTCATCACACTAGGCAAAGCCTTTTGCTTCCTAGGTTCCTTATCCCAGGGATCTGAGCTGGGAAGGAATGAAGTCTAGATAGGAAGACAGGAGTGAACTGGGACCCCACTTATGGCCTGAGGTTGACTTTTCTCTTTTCATATTTTAATAAGATATATCTGTGGTGTTGAAGGTCTGTGACATGCTTTTTTTTCCCCCCACAAGAGCTTGCAAAGGTTCCCTGTCAATTTGTCCATTTGTTTCTAGATACTCATAAGGAGGCAGAAGGTTCTGCTCCTACCTTGTAAATCAGAGCTGAGGCAGGGCTTTACTGAGACTTGGCTCATGGCCAGTGACCTGCTGCCTAAGGCCCCGTGTCTATTCAAGTTCAGTTCACCTCTTTGACCTCAGTTGTCTGGTTCCTTGTGGGATAGCCCTGCCATCTTCTTGCACTTGGCCCTTTCTGGAACAGGACCAGCTAGAATCTGTGCTGGAGGTGCTGCACAGACAGACAGAGCAGTACCGAGACCAGCCACAGCACCTGGAGAAGATCACTTGCCAGCAGAGGCTCCTGCAGGAGGACCTCGTCCACATCCGTGCGGAGCTCTGCAGAGAGTCCACGGTATGTAGAGGGTAAAGAGGCAACAGGCACTTCCCCTGGGGGCTGGCCATGGTTCTTTTCCTATCTCCCCTGCTACTGAGATGAGGCCAGGGGTGAGGACATGACACTGGCTCCTGGTGGTGACTTATGCAGGGTATCATGTCTGACTCTATCTGTATCCTAGGCTTCTTTCTATCAGGATAGTTGAGGGAGTCCCAGATTCTTGGAGAAGTCTACAGTGTATTTATTCTAAGATGTCAGAATTTCCACTGTTGGGGCTGTCAGTCTAGTGTGGACCTTCCTACCAGGGCAGGGAGGGAAACCATCTTGGGGGTGGGGGAGAGAGTGGACAGCACAGGTGGCCAGGGTCACCCACTCCCATCTCCTTTCTACCATGGTGTTCAAGCCTTCCCCCTCCCCCTCTGCCTAGGGGGTAGCAAGTTGTGGTGGGTATCCTTGAGGCTGGGAGGGGACAAGGTGAGGGTGCATCTGGAGACCAGAAGTGTTTTCTTGCCAATAGGAGATGGAAAACGCATGGAACGAGTACCTGAAGTTGGAAAAGGATGTGGAACAGCTAAAGCAGACCCTGCAGGAGCAACACAGGAGAGCCTTTTTCTTCCAGGTGACCAAGAAAGAGGGTTGTCACCTCCCTCATCTCCATCACTAGCCTGTTAGGGCTGTGGGCTCTCCCAAGCAGCTTTCCCAAGCTCTACATTAGCAGGAAACTCTTTGCTCTCAGTGCCTAACTCTCAGTGTTTGGGAAAGAGCTGATCCTTTAAAAGAGCAGAGCCAAGAGAACCCAGTTCAGTCCCTGTACCCACCTGGAGCTCACTTTGGAGGTCAAGGGCGAATTTCTCCTGGATTCCCTAAGCAGGAAGTCCAGCCTCTCTGTCTTGCTTCTAGTAGTCACTCGATGGCCTGAGGAGAAAGTGTGAATCAGTCCCTGGAGTCTTCTCTTCTCTCATTTATGCTCATTTGTGTTTTGGGAGCCAGGCTGGCTGGTCCCGATCTCTCTGGCTCCTGGCCAAATCGGAAGAAATGGCTTTAGCTTAAAGTCAGAATATTCAGAGGGCAGAGTGGTGAACACCTTTAATCCCAAGCTTGGATAGCAGAGGTGATCAGATCTCTGAGTTCAAGGCCAGCTTGGTCTATAGGAAGTCCAGGACTACACAGAGGAAAAAAACAAAAGTCAGGACATTCTAGCTGGCTTGTGCTCTCTCATATTGCAGGGTGGGCTTCTACCCTACCCTCAAATTTTTTTTTTTTTTTTTTTTTTTTTTTTTTTTTTTTTTTTGGTTTTTCGAGACAGGGTTTCTCTGTGTAGCCCTGGCTGTCCTGGAACTCACTCTGTAGACCAGGCTAGCCTCGAACTCTCGAACTCAGAAATCCACCTGCCTCTGCCTCCCAAGTGCTGGGATTAAAGGCGTGCGCCACCACCGCCCGGCCCCTCAAATTTTTAAAATAGAAAATGGCCTGTTTTCGAGCTCTACTGCAGATCTGTCCCTTTTGGGGGCTCTGACATAGATTTGGTGTATTTGAATTCAGCAAGTGTTCCTGGAGGCTTCTTGTGCACAAGATACCATGCTGTGCCACTTTGAGATCTGGGCTTGCTAAATCATGATGGGATTCTGATCTAGGTTCCTCTTTCGGGTCACTTAGTGAATATGTGAACTCTGGATGTCCCCCTAACCCTAGGAAACCAAGGAACTTCTCTGGGGAATTTTGTTTTTTTCTTTTCCCATGGATCTGCTGTCCCGGACTCACTCATAGGTGGCTTTGAGAGGTGCTGAGGACAGTGTGGAGACTCTTGCCTCTGGTTCAGGGATGACCTCGGAGAATCCCTAGACTCTGCCTTTCTCCCACTGTTATCCCCCCTCCCCACTCCCTTCATTCTCCTCATTAGAAACATTCCATAATACTACTGTAATGGCTTGAACATCCTGAGTGACTACTGTCGCTAAAATAGGCCCAATGGTTGTTTCTAGTTGTTGCTGAGGTAGATCTGTAGCCCATGGCTTTTTGAAAAAAGTCTCACTACATGACCCAGGTTGGCCTTAAACTTGAAATGCTAATCTCAATTCTCTTTCTTTCTTTCTTTCTTTCTTTCTTTCTTTCTTTCTTTC